TACAACACACACGTATAGAGCTGATTATGGTGCAATGTACGGGCCAGAATTTGCAGATATGCCTAATGTTTGTGACTACAGATTTAACTCATCAATAAAAGATAGTGAGTTATATAAAGAAATGGAGTCTATATTCAAAGAAGAAGCGATGATGGCAATTAAGAATTACAACATTCGTAATTCTATTCAGTATAGAGTCGACCGTTCCACCACAAAAAAAGTATGTATGTCACTGTATCCAACATGATAACGGATGCAACTGAATGATTCGTGTATGGAAGAGGAAAAAGAAAAACAATATATGAGAACTAACAGTATACAACATTCCTCACACATGCTGTACTAGAAGGATCAACCAAGATCATCCCAACTTGGACTCCAATATTATATGCTAAGTCATTATGCCCAGGGTCAAAGCAAGCTCCCATATAACTATTGAGGTGCTGATTTCAGCTATACAGTCGCAATCTGGATATACTGTCTCATACATGAAAGCGTGGAAGGCAAAAAAAAAGCCATTAAAAAACCTCACGGCGAGTGGAATGCATTTTACAACGAACTACCAAGTTGTTTTAGGGTAGTGCACATAATGAATCCTGAGATAATTTTCGACTTTGAAACTTGCCATACATACCACAATGATCGAGTGTTTCACGATCGATGCCAATTCTACCAGTTTTTTTACTTACCTACAGTACATTAATGTTGTGAAATACTGTAAGCCCATGGTCCAAATTGATGTGACATTCTTGCATGGAAAATACAAGCAAGTTTTAATATTGACATTCTTCCAGTTATTTTTGCCATTGTTGAAGGAGAATATACAAATTCTTGGGTTTTTCTCACAAACTTACACTTACATGTTGTCACAAGGGAAAAATTTGTATCATTTCAGATCGCGGAGCTCGGGTCAAAGCAACAATTGATTCTTTGGGTCCAATTTCGCAATTACCTTATGTCTAACATCGGTACTGTATCCGACACATTATTCTTAACTATCATTAAAAGTTTAAGAAGAATAATGAACGACAATTACACGTGCGCATGGGTATGTCAAAATGCCTAATTTTATTTCTCAATCATTTTCATCTTTTTATGGAAACTTAACAGTAAGTTAAACATTTGATTCTCAGGTTACGAACTATTACCTGAAACATTTAAGTCCATGCTTCAAGATTTGTGAGGAAAGAACAAGCAAATATACAATTACATCAGCCTTATTAACAAATAAATGTGGACAAATGCATATAATGGTTAATACGATATGGACACATGACGACCAACTTGGCTGAGGCTATCAATTCAATCTTAAAGGGGGCATGCCATTTAACAGTAACGACTTTGGTTAAAACGATGTATTTTTGTTTGGGAGCGCTTTTTGCCAAGCTAGGGGGACAAACTCAAACTTGGATGTAAAACGGTCATGTCTATCACCTAAGATTAGTTGCAGATATACAAAAAAGAATTGCCACATCAAATGGAATATCTATAACAATATTTTATGGAACCCATGAATTATTTCGTGTCACAAAGATGCCACGACCTCTTCAAGGGATTCAAGCTAACTCATTTAGAGTTAATTTATGAGACAAATGGTGTGCCTATGAGTTTTTTCAAACTATGAAGTATCCATACTCCCATGTCATAGTAGCCTGCTCTCATACTCAACAACACTATAACCATTTTGTGGATCCCGTATACTGACTTTCAAAAGTATTTAAGGTCTATGAATTTAAGTTCCCCCTATAGGTAATGAGAAAGATCTTTATGAGGTTTAGAATTGGCTTTTAATTGTACCAGATCCGTCCTCATTAAGGGAGATCGGTCATCCAAAATCCATTCGAATTCATTGTGATATGTATATTCGGGAGTCATCCAAAGAAAACAAAAGATGTGAGCATTGTAGAAACCTAGGACACAATAGGAAAAAATGTCCATATATTTTGTCATCAAGTAATCGTTGATGTTGTGATGATGTAATTGTTGTTTATGAAATCTAAGTTTGTGTTATTTAATTTTTATTTACTTTCAAATAATGTCATTTGAGCATCACCGAGTAATGAGCTACTCAAGTGAAAATTAAATAAAAAACATTACAGAATAAATACAAGAAAACGATACAATTCAAATAATAAAAACAACTAAATAGAAATATTAAATGCATATGATACAATTCTAACAATTAAATAATAAAAACATTAACAAACAAAATAAATAAAAAGCCCATAATTAAATAAAAAAACTTTACAATTGTTAGTAAACAAATACAATTAAATAAAAACATTACGAACTAAACAACTCTATCGATGTCTATGTCTTGAATGTGTTCCGTAGGGCGGTGGTTGTCTGTGACGATGAGGGTTTCTTCGTATAACTTGTTAATCCTTCTTACTCTCATCATCATCAACATCATCATTATCATCATCAGGAGCAACTACATTTTGTTAATGAGGGGCGAATGACGATGTAGTACCAACATAGAATAAGGAACCTGGAGGTGTATGACTGATGATCCATCCGCTCATAGAAAACTGTGAAAACTGCAAAACCACCGACATCGATGAGTGCGAAAACTGCACCGGAGGTGTCTTTGCATGTGGTGAACCTTCGCCCACCAAATAACAAGCATATGAACCCCACACTGGATCTACAAGCATGAAAGTATAATATATGCCAAAGGGTCATAAAACCCTGCGGCATTGACATCTGACTAGATTGGGTGGCATCTGATATGGAAGCGGTGGTGTCTCACCCGAATGTGGTGGAATATGAAATAGTTGCGATGCCGTCTGATACGGTTACGATTCCATCTGAAACTGCTGTATAATGTACAGTGATATAGATGGTGGCTATTGTGATGGTTTTGGTTCTGTAGTTGAGGACGAGCCGAAAGTGTATGCTCTCCGTCCACAAGTCAAGGGACGATGATGATGTATTGGTGGACGTCTTTATCGATGCCGATGAATGGTCCCGCCTCATGCTTCCTCAGAAAGTAGGGTTCGTGTTGAACCATTCATAATAATCATCCACAACCGAATAATAATCCACAAAAATGGGTTAAGTATGGAGAATGCGTCCATGTTGATCCTCCCATATTATTACCCACTCGATGTACTTCAGCAGTCACTCGACTTATTTTTTGCCCCGTCTATCGATGATATGCATATCGTCGAGATTTTTAGGTGCTTCCGGAATAGATTATAAATAACCAAATTGGTAGAGCACACGGTTAGTATGATAACACTCTATAATAACATAATATATATCATAGGGACCACCACCATCCATACATCTAATGGGCCTCTCAAGTGATGTGGGATGCAAATCCTCATTTCTTTAGTAGAATAAAGAGCACATTAAAACAAAAACAAATATATATAATTCTTATCAAAATAATATTCTAATTATATAATGATAATTAAAAGTAAATAATAAAATTTAAATACATATATCTGTACCAGCCTTTTAATCAATGAGTAGTCGAATTTCTTCCAAATCATCCGGTAAATGACGATGATATTTGCTTGCACTTGACCACCTATTCAATAAAAAAATTTCATTATATACTCAAAAAAATTATTTATATATATGAATTCAGTATTGAAATTACCTCAACAATAACGGGAAGACCAACGGGTTTTTCACAACCGGACATAAAAAGGCATGCAATACCATGCTCAAGAATGGAGAAGAATGAGACATTTATCGATATCATTTTTTCTATAATCAGTTGTTTGACACATTTCCCTATACATAAATTCCAAAACTGTAGAGCCCCAACTGAGTGCGTTAGCAACGTGAAAATCTGCAAGGTGACGCAACCACATATAATGAACTTTGTTGCGCGATTTATCGGGCATCAGGATCCCTCATATGAGTTGTAATATGCTAGCCCGTGCATACATTTTAATATGTTCCTTGGAATTGTCGCGATTCAAATGTTTAAAAGTTGTATCAAATCAATTTAACGATATTCGACCACCATTGAAATTAGGCGGGACACCTCCAAGATACTCATCGCACAAGAAATGTCAGTCACTATCTACCACCCCAGAAATCACATCGCTATCTACCGGAAGCTCAAAATGTATGGAAACATCCTCCAGCGTAATAGTGCACTCTCCACACGGAAAATAGAATGTGTGTGTCTTTGGTCTTCACCTCTCAACCAGTGCAGAAATAAGGTTGGATTCAAAGTTATAGTACCCTTCATATTTCGCTACGTAACCGAATCCAATCTCGGCTAAATATTGCCAGACACGAGTAGATATCTCTAACTTAACGTTATGAATAAATATATCTAATATATAGTCTCTCTCCTAATTTAATAAATATTATACAAATTAAAATATAAACTAATACTAAAAAATTAAATAAATAAAACATTCACAATAATTAAAATAACAACACAATTTAAAATTGTTATCGTATCGACAAAATGCATCTAGATATGATTCTCATCTAAACGTAGAAACCCACCTTACATTCTATAATGCAAAAAAGTAATATTAGGACAATACAATTTAATAAAATAATAAATTATTAAATAATTATAATATAATAAAAATATTTTATCTTCTTAATAAAAAGATTGATAATAGGAAGAATAAGATAACTTGATATTTGAGTATGGTTTGATGGTTGTGTTGAGTGTGATATTTATAGGAAGTGGGGAGGGAGAGACGGGTGATAATCAATGTGGGAGACGGACGATTGAGGAATTAAAGGAAAAACGTGGATCATGATTCGTGCCTTTCGTATGTGTCAGAGTTCATCCATCCGTGCATTTCCTTATGTGGCGCCAGTTCAGACAGAATCCCGCGAAAGCGCGACTGACGATCTACATTTTATTGCCACCTTGTCAAAGGTGATAGATCGATAATATTAAGAGAGAGGGTGCCTGATATGTAATTATTGGGGCTAAGGGTTATATTTCGGTTAAAACGCCAATTATTGCTGTTTTTTTTTCCAATTATTTCTCTTGTACTTCAACGCTAAAACATTACTAATCTTTCACACTATCCTCTCTTATTCTCTGCTACATCTCTGAAGCTGCTCGGAAGCGTCTTCTTCAATGTCTCGGTTCTTTCCCAATCGTTCGAATAAATCTGGGGATTCCGGTTTTCTCCACGGCGTGGTACGTTATCTCCTCATTTTTGAACGTTATTGAACTTTTTTCTATGATTTGTTTCAATTATTTTTTCGATCGAGGTTTCGTTGAAGTTTTAAAAATCACGCTGAAGAATAAGTGATCTGGAGATCATTTCGAAATCTGGAAATCGTCGAGAGAAATGACAACTTGTTTTGCTCGTAAGGTGTTGATTGACGAGAGATGTTAACTTTCGAACGTTATTTCTCTTCGTTTTTCTTGTTTGTGGATCGGAATCTCATTCTTGTTTTGAAGATGACACTGAAAACTTGTGATTTCGTGCCATTTCGAAATCAAATAACTCGACTCGTCGAGAGAAATCACAACTTGCTTTTGCTCGTAAGGTTTTGACTGACGAGAGATTTTAACTTTCGGACGTTATTTCTCTTCGTTTCTCTTATTTTTGGATCGGAATCTCATTGTTTTTTTGAGGACGACGCTGAAAACTTGTGATTTCGATGCCACTTCGAAATCAAATAACTCGTCGAGAGAAATTACAACTTATTTTTGCTCGTAATGTTTTGATTGACGAGAGATTTTAGCTTTCGAACGTTGTTTCTCTTCGTTTTTCTTGTTTGTTGATCTGAATCTCATTCTTCTTTTGAAGATGACATTGAAAGCCTGTGATTTCGATTAGAGGTGCTTAATGAGAGCTTGAGCAGTTCTATTTCGAGTAAGTTAAAATTCAATAAAAGTTTAACTTGGATCGCCTCGAGCTCGTCTCTGGACTTTAACAAATTAAGTCCATCAAATTTGAATTCGACTTTATATGTTGATGGAGGAGTTCGTTAATTTTTTTTTATAATCTTTTACTAATTATCTTAAAAATATATTTTATTAAAAATTACTAATTTATTAATATAGATGATAAACAATTAATCTATTAATATTTTAATAAAAATACTAAATTATTAATTATTATTTTACTACACTTAAAATTAAACTATGATTATTATTTTAATATATTTGTGGATTTTTATTTTAGATTTTAGACTTTAAATCTATTTTATACATTCTTTTGATAATTTTTTTGTTAAATTTATCAATTTATTTATTTATTAAGTTTTATATATAGTATTAATAGATTTTATCTATAATTAAAAAAAATAAGATAAAAATTTTGGTGAGTTTAACGATCTTAACGAGCACGAGTTGAGTAACAAACTTTTTTAACGAGTATGAGTCAAATAAAATTTTGGGTAAATTATAGTAATGGTCACTGAACATTTCAGAAGCTTGCATTTAGGTCCCCCAACATTTAAAACTTGCAATACAGTCCCCCAACATTTATTCCGTTTGCAATATGGTCCTCCAACTTAAACCACAGTTAGAAAATTAGGATAAATTATATAAATGGTCATTGAACTTTTCAGTCACTTGAATTTAGGTCCCCCAACTTTTAAAACTTGCAAAACAATCATTAATTTCATTCTAAACCCCAATTTCCAAAGTAATTCAATTTTATTCTAAACCCTAAATTCCAAAATACTTAAATTAAATTCAATTATGTCAAAGTTATTATTATTTAATTTCATCTTATTTCATGTGATACGTATTTTTTATATAAATATAATAGTATAATTTTTATCTGTTGAAGAAATTTTTTAATTAAAAAAAGTAGTTAGGATATAAAAGAGGTTGAAAATAATTAGAATTTTAAATTTATAAAATGTTATTTTGACGTATAAATAAAAGTGTAAACTACTCGGTTGACAACTTAACTATCTAGCCCTTTTTACTTTTGTCATCGATCTTTTAAATTTATCAATCATACCACATAATTATTTAACTGTTTCAACTAAGCCACTAGTCGTTACCAATTGATAAAAATGATGATGTGACAGTTAAAAGGAATTGACATTATTATACATTCAGTCTTTATTATTTATATAATCAATTTGGTCCTAAATTAAATAAAATTTAATAAATTAATCATTTAATTAGGATCTGACATGTGTTAGCACATGATCATGACACGTGTCATTGGTGACACTTGTTACCACCTAATTATTTATATATGCTATCAATTTGGTCCTAAATTAAATAAATTTTAATAAATTAATCATTTAATCAGGATCTGACATGTGTTAACACATGATCATGATATGTGTTATTGGTGACACATGTCACCTCCTAATTAGAAGAAAATTAAGTTACAAAGAAGTAAAATTTGGGTCTTGGGCAAACTCAAACCTGAGTCACGCAAATAAAAGATATAGGGTGGAGCCACTAAGCTAACACCATCGTTTTTGTTAAGAGATATACAATAATACATATACTAATAGTATGACCAATGCCAGAAAAAAAAGAATATAATGTAAAATGAAAATAATGAGATTTGAACTTCGGCAAAAAATTTGAAAGCAATAAATGATGGGAAAATATTATATTTTTTACAATAAAAAAATATTATATTTGATAAATTGTTTGATAGATTTAATATATTTTTTAAATATTAGTTGATACAATATTTTAAAAGAATAAATTTAAGATTTATATATTTTTAAACTAAATTTAATAATTATATTTTCATATTTATAATTCATGATTATATATATCTTAAGTTGAGTATTTCTAATATAATTAATAATTTTAATTTCTTATTAAAAATAAAATATTCAAAAAATATAAATGATTCATACATTAATATATGAATATATTTTTTATTTATACATCTAAATATAAATATACATTTATATAAATATATTTTTATTCGTTGTGTCTGTGCCTTGAACTCTTTCTTCAAGCCTATATTACCTTAAATTGAAGTATTTTAGAATTTAATTGAAGTATTTTAGAATTTAGGGTTTAGAATAAAATTGAATTACTTTGGAAATTGGGGTTTAGAATGAAATTGATGACTGTTTTGCAAGTTTTAAAAGTTGGGGGACCGAAATTCAAGTGACTGAAAAGTTCAATGACCGTTTATATAATTTATCCTAATTTTCTAACTGTGGTTTAAGTTGGGGGACCATATTGCAAACGGAATAAATGTTGGGAGACTGTATTGCAAGTTTTAAATGTTGGGGGACCTAAATGCAAGTTTCAGAAATGTTCAGTGACCATTACTATACTTTACCCTAAAATTTTAACTAATTTAACGATTAACGAGTTAAGTTGGTTAACAAATTTAACGAATACTATCTAACTCGCCATGGTCTGGCACTTCTAATCGTTGGTATAATGAATATATCTTTTTGTTTACTAATCCATCCAAATATTTCTTTAATCATTGTTCACAATTTTCCCCACATTATTAATCATTTATATATATTTTAAAATGTTCATACAATTTCTTTAATAAAATCTTTTTTATTTATTTACTTGCAAATAATCATCAACTTTCTCGTTCATATAGAGTTGTGGAAAAAATGATTTTACTATATAAGACGTCCATCATATTATTTATTGAATTAGAGTTTTTATTGGTTTGAAGACGTCGTGCACTCCTGGGGTCTTCTCCATTTGCATGAAGACATTGTGTAATCATGGGGTGTTTTCCATTTTTCTAAAGTCTTCATATTTAATTTAAAGAGGCGTAAATTATCTGACGTCTTTAAGTTGATACTGTACAATTCACCTTAAATAGAGAAATAATTCTGGGATTGAATTATAGTGGGAATTTCCCCCACATTATTTACTCATCCATTTTGCAAATAATCTCTAGCATTATCAATTATGAATTGTCTTACGTTTGACTTAATTAATATCGTTGAAGTTATAGCAATAATGACAACGAGTTTACGTGTTCTTAAGCTCACACGTGTATACAATTTTTTAATTTTTGAATCGTTTATGATAATTTAATTTTGTTTAACTCTCAATTTTTTAAAATTTTCATTTTAACTTTTTGGACTTTAATTTTAAACCTCGATTCAGTTCACGTAATTATTGTTTTTAAATTTATAAACCATACATTAAATAAATATTATTATTTTATTTAATTTCCGTTTTTTAATATTTTCTTGAACTCTATATTTGACTCATTTAAGTATTCTATAAATAATTAATCGATTAAGTAAATTATTTCCTATACTTTTAATTTAAATTTTCACTGTTTTATTATCAAATAGATATTTTTTCCCATCCACTTAAATATATTTAAATATAAAAGTTAAATATTTATGCCAAATAAAATTATTTTGGTCAGAAAAAATAGATGCCAATAATTTTTTTTGTTGAAAAGTTTAAATATAAGGTTAAAATATAATTCAAGTCCCTATATTCTTTATATATTTAGAATTTAACCTTCAACATTTTAAATTTTAAAATCCGAGTCCATTTATAAAATTCATTAAATATTTAGGTAAAGTATACAAACGGACTTCGACTATAGAATACTGCTTTGTTAAGCCTCTTAATTATTAAAAGTTACAAAATAGTTTCTCGACTATAGGATGTTACTTTATTGAATCCCTTGAATATTTAAAGTTTTTATAAAATGATTATCTGAGTATTCATTACGTTACAAATTCATCATTTTCCGTTTAAAAAACGATAGTTTGAGCATAATGTAATTTTATTTCTAAGATATGATGGTCGTTTGAGATTTTGAGATTATATTTTATTGTATTTGAGACAACAAATTAATATCCAACTTAGACTGCCATCAGTTTTTAACTGAAAATGAATCATTTAGAACATATTGAATAGTTATGTCATGATTTTGTAACTTTTAATAGTTGATCGATTATTTTGTAACTTTTGATAGTATATAGATTAAACAAAATAATATCTTATAATCGAAGAATTATTTGTATGCTTTACCTTCAAATATTTTTATTAAATTCAAATTCATTTGGAGGGTCAAATTCCAAATCTACTAAGAGTAAACTGCCAAATGCTGGTTTTGACTTCTTAGATCGATGATGCCTATCAAACGTAAGGAATACAACCGTTGTTCTTTGTTTTTATTTGCAGGTGGGTGAAGCCACCTCGGCCCTCAATAAGGTGGCCGGTGATGTGGCTGCCGAGGTTCGTAGTCCTGGATTGGTGGCCTCCCATTCAGGCTTCATCAAGCCTATTTTATCCGACGCCGTTTACGCCGCCCACGGTGTTGCTACTGAGCTCCGGAATGCTGGAACTGTGAGTACTGAGTAGTGCTACTTTCCTTTTTTTGGCATATTATTTCATTTTACTGTTTCTAAACTATGAATACAAGACATGGTAAGAAACAAAGTTTAAGTTTATTTTTAACGTCTCAGATGCTTTATTAAGTGATTGGGTGATGTTTATATCGGGTGGCTGGCCGACCCTTTTTTGTCCTTAACTTTTTAGTAGCCGCTGTGATCTGCTATCGTCTACCATGAAAACTTTGGATTTAAACATGAATTACAGAACTTTTTAGCGCAAAGGTTTGATTAATGAAGAAGAGTATCCTAAGAATGATGATGTCTAGCTAATGAAAAGAGATTCAAGGTTTTATTTTTGCTGGATAGGTAATATGTGATTAACATTGATCATTTTGTTCTTCCAATTGTCTAGCATGTCGCTTCTGAAGCAATCTCGGCTGCCCAAATGTCTCCAGGAGTGGCTGGAGGAGTGTCTCCTCAGGGCCAGCATTCTGAACTGTTGAGCACTGCCTCTGGATTAATAAACCAGGTCTCATCTGATGCCTTCTCGGCTGCTCAAATGTCTCCGGGAGTGTCTCCTCAGGGCCAGCATTCTGGACTGTTGGGCACTGCCTCTGGACTTGTCAAGCAGGTCTCATCCGATGCCATATCGGCTGTCCAAATGTCTCCGGGAGGGTCGCCTCAGGGCCAAATTTCTGGACTGTTGGGCACTGCTTCTGGACTAGTCAAGCAGGTCTCATCCGATGCCATCTCAGCTGCCCAAATGTCTCCGGGAGGGTCTCCTCAGGGCCAGCTTTCTGGAGTGGTTGGCACTGCCTCTGGATTCGTCAAGCAGATCTCATCCGATGCCATCTCGGCTGCTCAAATGTCTCCGGGATTGTCTCCTCAGGGTCAATATTCTGGGCTGCTGGGCACTACCTCTGTTTTCATTAAGCAGGTCTCATCCGATGCCATTTCAGCTGCCCAAATGTCTCCGGGAGGGTCTCCTCAGGGCCAAATTTCTGGAGTGGTTGGCACTGCCTCTGGATTCGTCAAGCAGATCTCATCCGATGCCATCTCGGCTGCTCAAATGTTTCCGGGAGGGTCTCCTCAGGGCCAACTTTCTGGAGTGGTTGGCACTGCCTCTGGATTCGTCAAGCAGATCTCATCCGATGCCATCTCGGCTGCTCAAATGTCTCCGGGATTATCTCCTCAGGGTCAACATTCTGGGCTGCTGGGCACTGCCTCTGGTTTCATTAAGCAGGTCTCATCCGATGCCATTTCGGCTGCCCAAGGTGTGGCTACCGAGGTCCAGCATGCAGGAATGGTGAGTGCTGACTCAAGAATTCTTTTCTTTGCATTTTCTCCGTTTTCCAGTGTTTGAAGATCTGGTATAAACTATGAATTCAAAACAAAATGAGATTAAACATAAAAATTTGAGTATCACAAAGGCTTTATAAAATGATTGGGTGATATTTATACCAGGCTACACTTTTCTTCACTGCTTCTTAATGGGACTGCTAATTTAATCCTATATAAACTGCCTATGGAAAAGTCTTTTTTTCATTTGTCTCTCACAATTCCAACCAGAACAAGAGTAATATATCCTTACTTCAATTTCTTACAGAGCAACAAAATTTCCTCAACTTCTAAAGCCGAGCTGTTTCTATCATGGTTGAAGGAGACTCCAACTTCCTACATTAGATTTTTCTATTGTTGTGTAATCATAAGACTTGTGATATTGAAAAAGCCATTGTGAATGCGTGGTTTCGAAACCATCAACTGTTGTCAAAGTTTGTGCTTGGTTGTGAAACTGTGGTTTTAACAGAAATTACAGAACTTCGTAGCTCCGATATATGGTTAGTAGAGTGTACGCCAAGATAGATAATGTCGAGCAAATGAAAGGATATTCAGGAGGTCTTTGTTCTTACTGCAGGTTGGTGAACCTTTGTCCAATATTGATCGACTTGTCAAGCAGGTCTCATCCGAAGCCATCACGACTGTCCAAAATGTTCCAGGAGTGGCTGCTTCTGTTGGGAGTGGTGGAGTGCTGAACACTGCCTCAGGATTCCTCAAGCAGGTCTCATCTGATGCCATCTCGGCTGCCCAAGGTGTGGCTACTGAGGTCCAGCATGCTGGAGCGGTGAGTACTAGCTCTATAACTGAGTGTGGTTCAGTTGAAAATGCCATTGCAAACTTGGGATTTCAGAGCCTATGAAGAAGTTGCTTTAGTTAGATATTACTTTTTAAACCATTGGAAAAGAGTGTGGTTCAATTGCAAAACTGTGGTTTTATCAGGAATTATATATTCTTTTCGTATCAATTGTTTGATTGACATGAGTATTCTAAGACTGATGATATCGAGAAATTCAGAGGAGATTCAAGATTTCTGTGTGTGTTCTGCAGGTTGGCGAATCTCTGGCTAGGATCGATAATCTTGTCCCTTCAGTCATCAAGCAGGTCTCGTCTGATGCCATCTCGGCCACCCAAAAGGTTGCAGGAGCAGCTGCTGGACTGGCTTCTGATGTTCAGAATGGTGGAGTTTTGAGCACTGCCACTGGACTCATCAAGGATGTGTCATCCCAAGCCATCTCAACTGCCCAAGGTGTGGTAACCGACTTGAAGCATGGTGGAGCGGTGAGCATTGCCTCATGATTTCTTCCATTTGCATTTTCTTTCCTTTCCCATGGCTAAATTATAGTAAAGCTATCATTCTCAACAAAACAAGAAACACTTCTAATTTTCTGAGCATCTCAAAGGCTTTATAAATAGATTGAATGGTATTTATAATTGGTAGTTGGCCTTTCTAATTTCTTTTTTGTTGATTGCAATTTGAAGGTTCAAGAAGAAACTCAGAAGCTGAAATACTTGGCATTTGTGCAAGCAGCCATTGTCCATATGTTTTTCTTGTTCACCGACCTCTTCACTAAACTGAAGCAAAATTCCGGACCCTTGAAGCCTGTTCTTCAGACAGTTGAGACATTAGTTAAAACTGTGATTGGACCGATTTTTTATAAGTTCTTCGATGTCTTTTACGATCTACTCGAATTCGCCGATGACAAGGTAATGCTTTTTTCATTAGATATGGTCTTTTAACAATATATTGTTAACGGGTGGGGAAATTTGTGCTTGACTTGCATACTATGGTTTCATGGAAATTAACTTTTTTGAGCTCAGAATGACTAAGATTCAGTAATTCTTCTTTGTTCTTATTATAGATTGGTGAACTTGTGACTATGATTGATAGTCTTCTCCCTTCAGTCGTCAAGGATGTGTTATCCGAAGACATTTCGGTTGGCCGAAATGCTTTAGGACTGACCGTTGACACGCCTGCTACTGTGGTCCAGACTACACTAGTGCCGAGCACTGCCTCTGGATTCCTCGATCGGATCTCGTCTGGAGCCATCTTGGCTGTTGAAGGTGTGGCTAGTCAGGTCCAGAATTCCGGATTGGTGAGTTCTGCCCCCAAGAAACTCTCCATTATGGGAAATTCGAAGTTCTATTTATCATTTATTCTTTCCTGAAATTGCTTAACCTACATTTTCTATTTGTTGATCCAACTGAAGATTCCCGAACAACTACAAATTCTGAAGTACATGAAATACATCAAATTCTTTATACAACTGCAAGAAGCCGCTCTTCGTTTAGTAAAATTCTACTTTAAAGTTAAGAAGATGTTAGGACCGTTGGAGCCTGTCATCGATGCCATCGAGCGAGTGGTTATCAGCTTGTATCAAAAGTTCTTCGCGAAAATCGTTAAGAGCCTGGTTAGATGGGTTCTCATAAAGTTCTTTGGTGTCCCTGCTGAAGTTTTCGACTTAATCGACAAGGTAATGCCTGTTTCACCATGGTTGTCTCAACTAAATATTGTTCTTCAGACCATTTACGGAAGTTTATGGTTGAGTTGCGAGCAAAACCTCAACTTCGATAGAAATTACGCAGCGTTTTAGCTCGAATGTTCGATGATGTCTATCAAACGAACGGGGATTCAAGAGTTGTTATCCTGTTCTTGTTGCAGGTTGGCGATTTGAATAAGTTTGCCGATTTGAGTAATCTTGGAAATTTGAGCAAGTTTAATGCATTAGAAAAGGTTGGCGATTTGAGTAGGCTTGGTGATTCGAGTAAGATCGATGCACTTGTCCAAAATCTTCCGGGAGTTGGTGGTTTGGCTACCGAGTTGACCGGTGCTGGAGTGCTGAGTACTGCGTCGGGATTCCTCAAACAAGCCTCGTCGAACCCCCTCACAGGCTTCCAAGTTGCGGCCGGTGTCCAGCGCGCCGGAGCGGTAAGCATTGCCTCAAGAATTCATCTTTGCATTTCTTTATTTTCATGCTGCAATGTGATTCGAGCCTTCTCTATTTTCGTTGCAGCTTGATTCCACGACCAAGATCGATGGTCTTATATCACCATTCTTCAAGCAGGCTACATCCGTAGCAACCTCGGTCGGCCAAATCGCTTCGGGAGTCGCCAGTGGCGCCGCTTCTGACGTCCAGCGTACCGGACTGTTTAGTGCCCCTGCAGGATTCATCAAACAGATCTCGTCCGAAGCCATCTCCACCGTCCAAAATGCTTCCGAGGTGGCTCAGGGTCTGGCTACCACCGGAGTAGGCAGCACTGCCACGGGATTCATCACACAGCTCGCGTCCGGACCTATCGCGGTCACACAAAGGTCTCAGGAGGTCCAACAACCAGTAGAGGCGCCTTCATTGGCACAAACCGTCTTCGACATCGTCGAGCCAACGGTCGAAAAATGTGCAGTTTCGGTTTTGCAGAAACTGAACCGAATCCCTCTCTTCCCACAAGTAGCCGCGGTAGCCGTCCCGACAGCTTGCTTTTTCACCGGAGTATACAACGAGGTGGTGGCTACCGGTGCCAAGAAGGGTTACATGGTCGCCTCGTTTTTGCCGTTGGTTCCTACGGAGAAGATTGCCAAGGTGTTCAGTGGAGGGAAATATGATTAGTTTACGTAGAGTGATTAATATGTAATAAGCCTCTCTCTTGTGGGAGATGTAAAACCATATTATATCCCCTATGTCCCCTGTAATAGAGGATCATCGCACTAAAATAAGTTTCATATTAGATTTTAACTAGTTTTAACTGTGCAAGTTGTCTAATTGATAACATCATATCCACTATATCCGTTATATTGATATTATAAGATAATATTACGTCATTATTAAAAAAAACTATAATGTTAGTAATTTTATTTTTATTGTTATAGTGGATAATCAAAACGAAATCAAAATAAAATTTTTAGTATAATTTTAATTAGGGATGGGCACGGGGCGGGTCATGGTTAGTTTTTGGTCGTCCCGGCCCCGACTAAAAAATATATACCTAAACTTTTATCCCGCCTCACCTCAAAGAATTTTAGATTTTTTCATGCCCCGAATTTTAGACTAATACACTAATCATGACTCGACCTAAATATATTATTTTTAAAAATAATTAAAATAATATATTTTATAATAAAATATTTATAATTATTTATTATATTTTAAATGGTTAAATTAATATATTTTATACTAATTTTATATTTTAATAATATAAAAATAAAATTCTTAAAATATTAAATATATATACACGTATATAAATTAATCGAGTTGGATCAGATCAGTGCTTTTTCACCTAAAACCTGACCCTTCTCGCGCCAAAATTTTATACCATATAACCCGACTCGCCCGGTCTCGAGTCCCAAAATTTTAAAAAATGCCCCTATAGGGTTGGGTCAGATCGGAACCTATCGACTTCGGGTATTTGGACAATCCCTAATTTTAAAAAAAATAATTGAGTGATTAAAATTGAACTATGAGAATAGTTGAATAACTAAATAATTAGTTTACCCAAATTATAATTTGAATAGATTCAATTAGGGGTGAGCGTTGGATCGAGACAAATAGAGTAAAGTAAAAAAAAATGGAGTTATTCATGTTGACGAGTCATATTTTACAACTCGAAGTTAATTTGAATTTTTTTCGAGTTGAGTCTAGTTTATAAAATTAGAGTCGAGTCTAAATAATTTTTTGAATTTCTTTTTAAATTTAATTATAAATATTTATAATATTACGATATTATTAGATTTCATTTTAAATGGTTTTTTTATATCCATTTACAATACACATATATTATATATTTATTCATATTTTGTTCATATGTAATATACATATATTGTTGAGTTACTCGACTCAGATTTAAAGATTAATATATTAATTATTAAAAATATCAAATTATTCGATTTAAGTTTTAAATTTTCTTCGAGTCGAGTTTTACTCGCCCTTGGATTTGGTTGTATAAGTCCTTTACCATTTTACTCTGTTAGATCCGACCCGGAAAACTACTTTCAGGTTCCAGATATTGAACTGAAAACGCGGAATTTCTTTTCCCCGCCCCTCGAATTTCCACGTTCCACAACAATTTTTTTGAAGGAAAAGATAATCCAAAGCTTAGGAGGAATTCATGGCGTGTTTCTTACAGGCGCCAATGGCCTACGCAATCGTGTCTTCAGCTTCATCTTCTTCTTCTCGAGCGGTTCGAGTACCGAAGTCTTTGAAGCTCAGTGGCGGAGCTTTGGGTGCCAGAAACGCCGCAAAAATCCACATGCCTCCAATAAGCCCTAAGGACCCATTTCTTTCGAAACTAGCTTCCGTCGCCTCTTCTTCCCCCGAAACGCTTGTTAACAGCTCCGTTAATCCCGATACGCCGCGGTTTCTGGACTTGTTTGATTCTCCCAAACTCATGGCAACTCCAGCTCAAGTATGTTTTGCTATTTGATTTATTTATTTTTGTTAATTTTCATTCGCATGAACTTTGAAAGTTTTGAATTGGAATTATGAATTAATTGAAATTTATATGCATGAACGAATGGGAAATTTGTGCGAATTAATCATTCATTGAAACTATGCGAATGGAAAATTTTCGAGCTCTTGTTTTCAGATATAGTAATAGGTTTTTTTTAAAATATATTTTTGTTGATAAATTTGTATTGAATGAAAATTTTCAAACTAATCATTCATTGAAACTGAATTAGGTGGAAAGATCAGTGTCATACAATGAGCACAGGCCGAAAAGCTCTCCACCGGACTTACCTTCATTGCTTCTTAACGGTAGAATAGTTTACATTGGCATGCCGATTAGTATTCCCGAATTCCGATTTAAAAGGGTGGGTGGGTGGGTGAGGTTTATAAATTGTAAATGTTTTCTGTTGCATATGCTTTATCAAATTAGAAATTATTTTTATAAAAATTGCAAAACTGGGTTGTGGATAACTGGAATTTCATGTTCTTGCAATCTTGTTAAGAGTTTTGAGATAACTATTTCCTGGAAATTCTTGTTCCCGAGGGACAATTTGTATCTATATGTATTAGGATCCTGATTCATGGATCTCTCAGTACGAGAAAGCAAACCAAGAGTATCATTTCCTATATCATACTGTTTTTTATTGTAATTTGTTCAAACAGTTTGATCGTTTCTACCTTTCAGCTTGTGCCTGCAGTGACAGCTTGTAGTTGCAGAACTAATGTATCTTCAATGAATGGAACCGAAGCAACCAATCTATCTTTACATAAACTCTACGGGAACAACTCATGATGATGGTGAAACGGTGAGCTTTGCATATGGTACCTTCAAATTTGATAATGAATGATCGCGTAGCTTCTGGAGATGTTAGACTCTTACCTTGGTTCTCATTTAATAAGTAAAAAAAGTAAGTTGAGTTAAAATTTGGATTTTCACTGTCTTTTGAGTAGATTAAGTGCATGTAAACCTACAAATATGAAACCGTATACAAACCTGAATAGTATCTGAATTGTAAACACTAGCTTCTTCTTCCATGCTGGCGCTTCTTCTTCTTGCCATGCATTATGTTCGCTTCTTCTTGCTATACGTACATTAATTTAAAGCTCTTATAATGCATGTTGGCTTTGGAGACGGTGGGTTTTGCCATCTATGATGCACTTATGCAGTTACAAAATGAGGTGAATTTTCGTTCTTCAAAGATATCAGTATGTCTCATTTTCTATATTTTGATAAGAAAATTTTCTCTGGATGTCTCGAGTTTATGTTACTTTAGTTCAAGAACGAGATTTAATTTTTTCTTTATTCACGGAATTCCTTCAAATCAGACTGTTTTCCTTACAGGGCGGGACTTGATGGAAAATATTTTGCTTGCGCAGGAGTTGGTAAATGGATATGGCAGGAAACATCTTTCGGCTCGATGTGCCCTGAAGGTTGATGACCTCAGGAAAGCATTTGACTCATTGGACTGGAATTTTGTCTTTCAAGTGTTTGAGGTCTTGGGCTTTCCTGCTCGTTTCGTTGGTTGGTTTCGAGCTTGTATTACTTATTCTCGGTTTTCAGTTTGCCTAAATGGGGATCTTGTGGGTTTTTTTTCCAGGGGCGAAAGGTGTTCGACAGGGGGATCCTTTATCCCCACATATTTTCATTATAGTGATGAATGTGTTATCCAGGTTGTTGAATTTGGATGGCGAGTATGGTGTGGTAGAATTTCATCCGAACTGTAAACGGGTGGGGCTTACGCATATCTGTTTTGCTAATGATCTTCTAGTGTTTACTAAAGGTAATGTGGGGGCTGTGTTGGCAGTTAGGAGCGTCATGGATGTGTTTTATAAGTTGTCAGGTCTTTGTATGAATATCTCGAAGAGTGAACTTTTTTTTACTGGGGTGGGGAGCTCAGATTTGCAGAGATTAGCTGAGTGTACGGTTTTTTGTGTTGGGATTGTCCCTGTGCACTATCTAGGGGTTTCTCTTGTCTCTATAAGGCTTTCTTACTCTGATTGTGAGGGTCTTATAGGGAAGATTGCGAGGAGAATTTGTGTTGGCTATCGAACTGATTATCCTTTGCATGGAGGCTTTAGCTTATTCAAGCTGTTGTGTTTAGTATCCAAAACTTTTGGAGTAGCGTGTTCTTGTTTCCTTCTCGAGTTCTGAAGCGGATTCAGTAGTTGTGTAGTGTGTTCCTTTGGAAAGGTTCGGAGGGTTTGGCTAGGGGAGCCCGTGTTAGTTGGGAGCATGTTTGTTTTCCTAAGGGTGATGGTGGTCTAGGGATTAAGAATATGTTTGCTTGGAATAAGACGTGTATGATGAAGTGCTTGTGGCTCCTTCTAACCCAAGCAGGCTCTCTTTGGGTGGCTTTGGTTAAGGAGTATGTTCTGAAGGGGTGCCCGGTTTGGCAGACTCAGCTAAATAGTTGTCATAGTTGGGCATGGAAGAAGATCTGGGGTTTGCGAGATGAATTTGCTCTTATGGATGGCATGAGTGGGAGCTATCATGTTTGGGAGGAGATTCGATGTAAGAGAGATAAGGTCCCATGGGATAGTATTGTCTGGGGGGCTTGTTTATTTCCAAGAATTCGTTCATTTCGTGGTTAGCTCTTCTCGATCGCTTGTCGATGATGGTACGTATGCTCCATTGGGGGTTCATATTGATCCCTCTTGTATTCTTTGTGGTTATGGTTTTGAAAGCAGAGATCATTTATTTGCTGAATGTAGTTTTTCTAGGCATGTTTGGCTTAAAATTTTGTAGGCTTGTCATGTTAATTGGTTTGGGGTTTGTTGGGTTGATATGGTGGATTGGATTATAGCTCATGTTAGGAGTAAATCCTTGCTGAGGACCATTATTCGAATTGCTTGGTGTTGTTATATTTATCATATTTGGTAGGAGAGGAATGGTAGGTTGCATGGGGTTCGGCCTAGGGAAGTTGAAGGTATGATCTCTCAGATTAGGGGTATTGTTATGCTGAGTTGGTAGAGCACAAGGTTTTTAACCTTGAGGTCATGGGATCGAGTCTTACGGAGGGCATTTCATAATTCGGAGGTCTCTTACGGAAGCTGCTCTCAACCTGGTGTTGAGGGTAGCCTACTATCTTACCTCCCCCTTATCCCATACATATGGGAAAAAGGGACAACCATTTTTTTTGTTATGCTGAGTTTAAAAGGATGTGTTCGGGATAACTCATCGTTGCTTGCTGTTGATTGGGAGTTGAGATAGGGTTTGGTTTTCCTTCTTGTTTGTGTGTGTAAATTTTGGTTGGTTTGGTTGGTTTCTTTTGGATGAATAAAGTTTTCAACATTTATCCAAAAAAAAAAGAGAATACTGCATGATGCAAGTAAGGTTGTGTAAGTCCTTTAGATGAGAAATTTGGGATGGTGAAGGCATGTTTTATAAGAGCAAATCTTCCGATATAAGATGATATAGAGCTCGACGTTGAAATAGACCGGAACATACGATGCTCCAACGATAATTACCTCAGGCAGTGGCACAACCCAAACGACCGGTTATATGTTCAACGACGTTGTGATCACGGTTTGCCTTGCTCTGAATGTTTCAAGCTGGATTAGCGTACTTCAAGATGTTCGGAGTTTCCCCGACATTGGTGTCAACAGAACTAACACAAGCTATGCATACAAGAGCATTCCAAAGCAAAAACCTGGGGATCGGCATCAGCACCCGTTCGGTTTACACGTCCCGAGCCGGCAAGGATCACTAAGTGAAGTTCTGCAGATGAGGTTCACTAAGAAGACATAAGCACACACTCACCTTGAAAGGCTATTCGTATCAGTACTCCCCATGGCACAACATAAGGAAACTCGTGACAAGTACGATGCCTTCTCTTCTTTTCTCCGGAATTCTGCCTCGGTCACCCGAGCCAGTTCTTTGGGACCCGTTGTGCTAGAAAGTAATCGACAACCTTTCTCAATCAGAACAACAAAAGACAAAGAAATAGACCAAGCTCCGCTGGAAAAACACACTGCGTTATCCAAGATTGAACTTTGCAATATAAAATAATCAAACTGAACTTGAGATTCCATTTATGAAAAATAAGATGTTCCATCAACAATACTGATCTAAACGAAGAGTGCGTTTGGCATAAGAGAAAATGCTAATCGTGATGGTCTGCAATCTAGGCGTTCAACTATACATCAAGAATCAGATCAGTAGTATTCCAAATACCATCTAAGGGAAGTTGAACCCAAGACAAATTGTTCTTACTTGCCTCGGAAACATTTACGGTAGAGTCGTGACCCCATAGGACGACAACGAGATGTGCTGCAGCCATAAAATCTTGCCGGGATACAACAAATACCAAAATGAAAATTTCAGAGAAAGGTGTGCAGCCAATGATACTAAATATGATATGAAACATGATATAACACTAAAAAATACAAGATAACACATGATCCAAAATGCAAGGCAAAACATGATATCCTGTTTTAGATTCAAGTTTAATAAGTCAATTTATTAGAGCCAATATATATCCAACCTGAGAATTCACCTTCATAAACAGTTACGGAAGACCATGTTTTCCTCGACCACCCGACATGCTGCTGAGCATTGTGCCGTAACAAGAGTCCCCGTTTCGGTTTCAAGAGTTCTACTCTAAATCCAGCAGCTAAAGAACTATGGATGGCATCACCGTTTGTTGGTATAGGACCATTGTCTTCTATCAGTGATGGCATCAATAGATTTAGCTATTCCTGCTTCACAAAGTGTTTCTTCCACGTTAGTACGCATAAATCAACTCGAACTCAAACAACGAGGCCCGAACCATCCTTATCAATATACATATGTTCAAAAATTGATGAAAGACGTGACAGAGAGCACCTTGTTCAACGATAGATACTGCATTATATGTTAAACGATGTTGCAATCACGGTTTACCTTGTTCTGGTTGTTGCAAGCTCAATTAGCATACTTTGACTTGTTCACGGTTTGCTCAGCGTTGGTGTGAGCCGGACTAGCTGCAAGCTATACCATCAAATACATGACACACAATGTTTATGCAAAAACCAGCTAAGGGGAGTTGAATCCAAGTCAAGTTGTTGCCTCAACACATTTACGGTAGAGTGGCGACCCCATAGGACTGGCTACGAGATGTGCTGCAGCCATAAAATCTTATTGTGGGACGCAATGAATACCGAGAAGACGATATCGTATTTGCTCATCGACTTGTTTCCCTCACTGCTGGAGCAGAGAATAACTGTTGTCATAAACCAAACACATCTCTGAAATATCAAAGTTACGGTGTTCCAAAGATTTACTTGCACTCAAGGGTCAAAGATCGAGTCGAAATCTTCATTAGACGCAATGATTTTAGCCGTCCTAAAACGAAATTCGGGATGTTTGTCCGTCTGGTCAACTAGAACAGTCTATTCTTCAAGTTCATCATTGAAGGCACACAATTGACATAGTGAGAAATCACAGCTGCAGAATTAGACCCACCAAAACCATTTAGCTCCGAATGTTTTCCAAGAATAATCACACACAGAGCTCTAAAAATGATAAAGAACGATATTTATTATGATATAAAAAATGACATAACACTAAAAAAAATACAAGATAATGAACATATGCTTCAAAATATAAGGAAAAACATGACAAAATACAAGAAATATTCCATTGCCGGGAATTGAACCCGGGTCTCCTGGGTGAAAGCCAGATATCCTAACCACTGGACGACAATGGATTTGCTACAATGTTGATGGCAACAAATGAAAGAGGTTAACGCCATGACTTTGGATGGAAAATGGCGGGAGGCCACCACTCCAATAGTTGATGGAAGGTGTGCTTGGCAACCTCCTCCAACAGG